TTGCAGTAAAATTCTCTCTTTGAGAAAATTTGATTCAGTTAAATTTTGATGATAAAGAAAATATTGTTGATGTTTGGTAAGTAGATCTTTGAGTTTGAGATCAATGTGTTTGTATCATAAGGTTACTCTAGGCTGTTTGTCCCTGTAGTGCTAGTCAGATACTTGATCTTAGCCAAAAGGCCGAGAAAGATATTGTAGTGCTAGTCAGATACAGAAAAGATATTTCCAATGACTTTGATTATTAACACTTGATGCATCAATGGATAAAGATGATTTGTCTCTTAACTACAAGATTTTGACTAATTTTCAGAGTCGAACGGATCGTATAGTCTTTAAACTCTTTGGGAAAGATCCTGGTGATTTTCCTACAGCCTTGCGGAAAGAGGTATTTTGTACTCTTGCTATAATATTCTTCAATGACAGTGTTCTCATGTTTCTTTTATATCAATTTGAAACCAAGCCTTCTCTATTCCTGGGCAATTGCAGATTCTTGATTGGTTATCACACAGTCCTACAGATATTGAAAGCTACATTAGGCCCGGTTGTATTATACTAACAATATATCTTCGGATGGATAAATCCATATGGGAGGAGGTAAATTTTTTAATTCTCAGAAATGTATTACTTAATTTTCTGAGAGGAAGAAGCGGAGCAATAAGGTTTTTAGGCTTTGTTATTTAACAATAAAGGGAAAGGAAAGAGAAAACATGTGGCCAGAATGGATAATATTTGGCTAAAATGAAGCCAAAAATGAGTGTGATATTAACTTGCCTGATACTTGAAATCAGATATTTACTTTAGTTATCCCCTGTATAAGCTATTCGTTGTACTTTTCAACAAAATGAAACTAGCAAATTAAATCCCCTCAGGCCATACATATTCTCTTTCCTTTTCCTTTTCCTGTTCTCTTAATGTTTTAGCCTATAATATATTGCTCCTAATTGCTTTCCTTTTGCAGCTTTATTGTGATCTTAACTCTAGTTTGAGGAAGCTTCTTAATGCATCCGCGGATTCCTTTTGGCAAACTGGATGGGTTTATACTAGGGTGAATGATCGAGTGGCATTTTTGTTTAATGGTATATTCTCATCCTTCATTGTATCCTTTCTTGATCTATCTTTTTCTCGACAGTAACGCCACTGATATGAACATTGAGTCTTTGCTTCTGTACTACAGGGCAGGTTGTTCTGGACACTTCCTTACCAGTCAAAAGACATAGGAGCTGTGGGATATCAATTGTCAAACCTATCGCAGTTTGTGCCTCCAAAAGAGTTCAGTTTTTGGTGAAAGGCTTTAACCTATCTCGGCCCACTACAAGGTGACTTTAATAGACATTGGTTTGATCCTAAAGACGTTTGCCTTTTCCTTTTCCTATTAGTCTCTGCTTAGTTGGTTAGAGTATTTTGAGCTAGTTAATTGATTCTTTGTGTGTCTCCACTTCCCTTTTAGGTTACTATGTGCCCTGGAAGGGAATTACCTGGTCCAGGGTAACTGTACTGATATGATGGTAGGAGCTGATTCTTGTTTGGACCATGAAGAGATCCAGTCCCTTAGCTTTCCTTGTATTGTGCCAAATGTTACTGGCAGAGGGTTCATTGAGGTGAAGTTATTTTTTTTCTCCTTAATGCTTATTAATTGTTAATTTATCTTCTTGTTTTCCCTATCTTGGAGCAATCGTGTTTGGTTTATTATGAATGGAATTTGATGCTCGTTGGTTTACTAATGACTCAGTTTTATCTTGCAAGTAAATTTAGTGAAGTACCTCAATGAAAAGGATTAACATTTGGTCTCTATGTGCACAGTAAACCTAGGCTTGGGTGACAAAATATAAAATATAAATGCATTAACCGATCAGGCAAAAAAAGAAAGAAAAATGATATCTATTTTCTTTTTAACTCATTGGTACATGCAAACTATTATAGTATTATGTACTAACCTTTTGGTTTGACTCCCTGTTACTAGTTATGTGTTACTTTTCATTAGATCAACAGATTCTGGTTCATACTTCAGGTTTGTACTTACCTGATAAAATAGAGTAAAATCTTGTATCTCCCTCTCCTCTTTCTGCAGAAAATTGACTGTATTGGGTACACTTTATTCTACTTCTGAAATGTAGTGTTCGTTATCTTTGACTAGGTTGAGGACCATGGTCTTAGTAGCAACTTCTTCCCATTTATAGTTGCAGAGAAAGATGTTTGCTCTGAGATTCGTACATTGGAGAGCAATATTGAGGTTGATGAAATGGCTGATGGTTTTCTGCAAGGAACTGAAAAATTGCAAGCCAGAGACCAAGCTCTGGAATTTTTACATGAAATGGGTTGGCTGCTTCATAGAAGTCATTTGAAATTTAGAGTGGGTTCTGGTGTCAACTTGAATCTCTTCCCTTTTCAGCGATTCAAGTGGCTTATAGAATTCTCCATTGACCAAGACTGGTGTGCTGTCGTAAAGAAACTGTTGGATGTTTTCTTCAATGGCGTTGTAGATGTAGGACAACAGTCATCACTTGACGTTCCTTTGCGGGAGGTTGGCATCCTTCATCAAGCCGTGAGAAGAAAGTGCAAATCCATGGTAGAAGTCCTATTGAAATACCGTCCGCATGGAGCTTTTGACAAATCAGGACTAAAAAAGCAACAAGATGATCGTGACTATTTATTTAGACCTGATGCAGTGGGTCCTGGGGGTTTGACTCCACTTCATATTGTTGCTAGTCTTGCTGGCTTTGAGAATCTTTTGGATGCATTAATTGATGATCCGGGACAGGTATATCTCCTTTTATTATGTGCATTTTGGTCTGTTGCATTGGAAACTGACAGTCGCCTCAATTCACAGAATGGGGGTGTGCAGGTGGGTGTG